GAGGGCGCGACAGAATGGCGACTCTGCTGGGGATATTAGGTTCTTATCATTACGTGTTTTATGCTTTATGTGGAGTTTACTTGGTTATTTCATTGTCCATTTGGTTATTAACATGTTAAGTTGTTATTAGTTTTGCTTGTTTACTTGTTTTCATATTTATTGTCTATTTTCCATGTTTCACCCCTTTCCCTTTCCCTCATTTATTTATTTCCATGTTTCACCCTCTCCCTTTTCCCTTACTTGAGTATTTTCATGCTTAATCTCATACCCATTTCCTTATTTGCTTGATTCTTTAATTTGTCTTTATGTTTACTCCTTTTTATTTACGCATGTATTTATTTATTTACTGTTTTCCTTAAACTGTATATATGTTACTGTTTTTCACTTACATGCTAATTGTTACCGCTTTTGATAAACTGGCATTCCGCTCATACTTTCCTCAATTGGGACCCTCTTCCTTTTTCATTTTGTTACCGTGATGTTGTGCCTTTGCACCTCTCACAACTACTCCAATTCTCTTCAAACACCTAATTATAGAGAGTCGGCATATGGGTGGACGGAACGGATAGTCTTACTACCGGGAAACCACGAGCCTTCTCACATAGAACCCCTTTCAAGCCCGTGTCAAGCGAATTCTTAGAAAGTTTACTTAGGTCATACATGTTGCATAAGCCCTAGGTGGTTTGACCATTGGTGTCAATCCATATGATTAGTAGCCACCTTATCGTCTAAAGGCCCCCAACACCCTTTAGACAAATTGCATATTTATGTGTCAATGAGGTTATAATAATTAAATTGAGTCAAATTTGCCAACATAAAGTTTAGATTTTGTTTGTTGTTTGTTTGCAGAGTCATGGCCTATCTTCATTTTTCAAACACGCAAATGGTAGTCAAAGTGAATCCTACTTTAAAGGTCTGGTGGAAGGATATTGAAAGGAATCGAGAGTTAGAGGCAAACGAACTACTAGGAGGCCTTACTGCTTTAATCTCCATCGAGTCAGATCGTCACTTGATTAAGACATTGTTGAAATTTTGGGACTCTGAGAGGTTAGTTTTCAAATTTAGGGACTTTGAACTAACCCCGACAGTTGAAGACATTGGTGGGTTTCTTGGTCTTCCTTACAGAGATTGTGAAATGATTGTGTCACACAAGCAAACTCCAAGGTCCTTCTTGAAACAAATGGGCATGCGTCATAATTCGAGTTTGCTTTGTCTGGAAAAATGATGGATTTCTTTAGAGTTTCTATTCTCACGTTTTGGAGACCTGGAAGGCCATGATAACTTCCACAGAGAATTTGCTTGCTCTCTTGCGAAGTGAGAAAGATACCGTCTTAATATTTTCGCTGTCGCACTGTTGGACTCATTAGTTTTTCCTAGAGAAGGTGGAAAAATACACACTAGCCTAAGTTATATGGTCCGTATGATGGCTCGAGGCGGAAAGACTATAGTTCCCATGATACTGGCAGAAATTATAAGAGCACTGACCAAGTGTACCAAAGGCAAAAGGTATTTCGAGGGGTGTAATTTTCTACTGCAACTCTAAGCTGTTGAGCATTTCTACCAAAGGGCTAATTCGGTAGACATTATTAGAGGGACTATGGGGAATAAAATCATCAATCATACCTCTAGGATGAAATATTTTGTTTCCCCTGTGGGAACGGAGGACTGGTTTGTGTACTTGAGAGAACGTTCGGCCATCAATATTCAATGAAAATACTATTGGTTGAAACCTCGTCGTGTCATTATAAAAGGTAATGAGTTCTACTTTATCGTGCTCATTGGTTTAAATGGCGTGCAACCATACGCACCACTACGAGTCCTCTGACAGTTTGGTCAAATCCAAATGATACCTCTGCGATCCATATGGGCCAATATGAGTATGATTTTGGGCCAGAAACAACACAAGTGGGCACCATACTGCGAAGGTGGGAAAAAGTAATAACTATTGATGTTTGAGAGCATAGACCCTTCTGCACACCAGAGTATTACGTGTGGCTTTTGGAGGACGCAGAGCATGCAGATTTGAGCGAAGAAGGCCTTCCAGGTTTTGGTGACGAAAAGGAAAGAAGATGGGCTTGCAACCTCCTCAACCGCGACTATGAGATCACTCCAGAAATGAGGCAGCACATTGTGCCTATTAATGAATAATAGCAATCATTAGTTTACATTTCTTAGTTGATCCACCTATTTTCTTCTTCTTCATCAGCACCATCTTCAGCCCACATATCAACCCAATTCTGTTGTGCTTCTTCCAACCCAATTAACGACCCCTGTTTCCAACAATTTCTGTTGCTTTATTAAATCAAAAATTTGCAGTAAAATCACACCGTCGAAAATCTGATTACCATAAAATGGGACTGGGTTTTGGGTTCTAAAAATTTGATTTGAAATTATAGTTTGCGACCAATCAGAAAATGCCACGTGACTCTGTTTAAAAGCATCAAAACTTGACCTTAATTTTGTTAGTTTGAGGGGTATGTTTGATCCAAAACAACAAACATTAAGTAGGTGTTTGGTCATGCGATATTATATCACGATACGAAATTAGTGTTCGGACATGCGATTTCACGCTGCTCCATCTCATGATTTTATATCATGAGATGAAATATCATATTCTCCAAAAATCATGATATGAGAATTCAATATCATGATTTGAGATTTTTTAAATACAAAAGTTGACCCACAAGTTTATATTTTGTTAAAACAACCCCACATTATATTTACTAAACATTTATTTCATATGTAAATAAAAGTAATAATCACATAATTACTTTTTAAATTTATTATTCTCACCAACATAAAATTTATTATTCCTTTCAATTTGGTTAATATAAATGATAAAGTAAGAATTGATTTGGTGAATATAAATACAAACGAAGGGAGTAATATTTTTTTGATTTTTCATAATAAAAAAACTTCTCTTTCGACTACATATGAAAATGTTTAAAGCAATTTAACATGAAAAATGACAAAATTGGTGATTTATGTTTGATAATCATTACTTCCAATATGTTTGATTTTAGCACAAAATTAATGCACTGAAAATGTGCAATTGCACACAAGTGAAACAAGGCATGAACCATATGATAATGACACACAAGTGAAAATTGTCATAACTTGTACAGTGTTACATGATTATTTGCGATAATACAAAAGGGGTGACGAAATATTTATGGTCTATGAGCTTGAAAATATAGTTGTGAATGATATTGACCAACAAATGGCTCAAAATAACAATGTTGATTTGTCTTCTTGACCATATGATAGAGAAATGCAAGTTCAACGTGAAAAGATTGTTCGTACTATGTGGGAGGATTATATTAAAGACTAGTACACTACAATTTATGTTCAATTTTTTTTTATTGAATTAGAGTTTGATCAATTAAAGTTAGATGAAACAATTAATTAAATGGAGAACAAATAACTGTCTAATACTTTATTATGTGATTTTATAAGTTTTTGTTTATTTGATAAGATTGAATAAATAATTAAGGTCATTTTAATAGTTTTACAACTTATGAGATTCTTATGTTAATGAGGAAATATACAACACAAAAAATTCATATCGCATGTCCAAACAAAACTTCAACTTCATCTCATTATTTCATATAATGATATCATATCATGATTTAATTTCATAATTCATATCGCATAGCCAAACGGGCCCAAAAGTATTTTTAGACCCAAATATAGAAGAAAGGGAGAAATGTATTTATAAACCATTTTTCAAAAGGTTAAGCATATTTTGGGAAAATGCATAAGTACCCCCCGATCTATGCCAAAATCTCAGAGACACATTTATACTATACTAAGGTCTTATTACCCCCTGAACTTATTTTATAAATAATTTTCTACCCATTTTCGGCCTACGTGGCACTATCTTGTGGGCCCGCACGTGTTGATAACTTTTTCAAAGATAGTGTCACGTAAGTCGAAAAGGGGTAGAAAATTATTTATAAAATAAGTTCGAAAGGTAATAGAATCTTAGTATAGTATAAGTGTCTCTAGGATTTCGAGCATAGATTAGGGGTACTTATGCATTTTCCCGCAAATTTTTGTTCCTTTTCCCTTTGATAAAATAAGTTTTATCACTTTTGCTTAAAATGAATCCAAACGAGTTTAAGTAGATCTAAAAGTAACCCCAACTTAGCCAACTAGATAAGTGTTTCCTCTCACTTCTCCCCCACGTTGTTATTCCATTACATCTCGTTCTTCTCTGTAAGAGTCATTAACCATCTTTCCTACAAAAGAAAGCAAATTAGTTATTCTTGATAAATCAAATATTTTTATTTTGTGGGTTTTAATACTATATCACATATGATGATGATACTTTTCAGCCTAATACTTTTCCAATCTAAAATTGAGTATACTTGGGGGTGTGTTTGGTACGAAGGAAAATGTTTTCTTGGAAAACAAGTGCATTTATAACTTATTATCTCATGTTTGGTTGGAGATTAGAAAATATTTTTTAATGTTTGATTGGTGAATGAAAAATATTTTCAGAAAATATCTTTTATTTTTTTGGCTTGAGACTAAAAAAATACTCTTTAAGAAAATAATTTTTTATCCGAAAATCAACCCTGATAAATGATCTAAGACCCGACCTCGACACCAAACCAGGACAAGACCTCAATGACCGTTCCGAAATCCGACCCTGAGATCTGAACCAGGAAAAAAAATTAAAGGATGAAGTAGAGTTTTGGAAAATGTTTTTCTTAATTTTAGAAAGGAAGGCAGTTTCCTTAAATTTGAGGAAAATGAGTTGATTTGAAAAATATTTTCAAACATTTTAAGCCAACAAAAAATGGAAAAATAGGAAACCATTTTCCATACCAAGCACACCCTTAATTTATGCTATTTGCAATACAAAGTAAATCAGAAGTTGAAGTCGCCGTGAAAGTTGAAGTCGCCGATGGATTGGTAAAGGATGAAATAAGAAGAGTTATAAGAAAATTTATTACTCGTACTACCTAAGACCAAATATTAGTTCACTTTATTTTATGGCAACAGCTTTATTTAGATCACCGAAAATCACTGACGACCCAACAGCTCTAGCTGATTACCGCCTTCGCAAGCGGAAGGAATTTGAGACCTTAATTAGCCGTGCCAGCAGGAACAAGAGTGTGTGGGTGAAATATGCTGAATGGGAAGAATCACAAAAGGACTTGAAGCGAGCTCATTCTATCTGGGAACGTGCACTTGCAGTCGATGCACTTCACCATGACCATACCATCTGGTTGAAGTATATCGATATGGAGATGAAAAATAAGTTTGTTAATCATGCTCGTAACGTATGGGATCGAGCTGTTACTCTTTTGCCTAGAGTTGATCAGCTGTGGTACAAGTATATTCATATGGAAGAAATGCTCGGCAATGTGGCCGGTGCGAGATATATTTTTTGGAGGTGGATGACGTGGATGCCGGACCAGCACGGGTGGTTGTCTTACATTAAGTTTGAGTTAAGGTATAATGAAATAGATAAGGCAAGAGCAATTTTCAAGAGATTCGTGCAGTGTCATCCGAAAGTTAGTGCTTGGATTAGGTTCGCGAAATTTGAGATGGAGAATGGGGAGATAGAGAGGGCAAGGAATTGTTATGAGAGAGCTGTGGAAAAGTTGGCTGATGATGAGGACGTTAAGCAGTTGCTTGTGGTATTTCCGGAGTTTGAGGACAAATTTAAAAAGAAGGGCAGGCCAAGGAAGTATGAAAAGAAGGTTAGCGTTTCGCTCTTTGTTCTGCATATACATATTCTCCCCACTTTCTTTTTTCAAACAATTAGCTAAAGTTATCTTTTCATGTATTCTAATTTTCAAGTAAAACTATGATTTAAACTCCAAACTTTGATTCTTTTTATAGAAACTGATTCTGAAACTTTGATTCTTCTTCTACAGAAAGTGATTTTGAAATTGGAGTATTTCGACGAGAAAATCAAGCAGAAGGCAATGATAAATGTTTCTAGTCTTGAAGGTATTATAGAATTACTTCTTTTTACCACTCTATCCATCCTTTTTCATATTTATTAATTTAGTCAACAAATGTAATATTTGATATTTTTTTTCTCTTAAAATATTGTACATATTTCTTTAATATTAAATATAATATAGTAGTTGAAAACGATTGCAACTCTAGTCTTCCTCTTGAATTTCTAAAGTAATAATACTCCCTCCATCCCATTTTATGTAGTAACCTTTGACTTATCATAAGGTTTAAAGAAAAAAGAATTTTTTTTTTGCTAACTTATTGTCTAAAATAATTTTTATATATTTGTGTGGTTAAGATTTATTTAATTAGGATAAAAGAGGGATTTTTAAGTTAAAATATTTTTAAATATAATAAAACGACATTTTTTTTTAATAGATTAAAAATGAAAGGATGTTGTATAAAATGGGATGAAGGAGTAAATATTTTGATCTAAAACAACAGGTAAATTGGGAGAGACGAGAGTAACTTTTACAAGAATCATGAATTATCTAGAAGTCCCGATCCTGAAATAGTAGAGATTCTGAATTTTGATGGTTTTCTGGTGTGAATTTGTTGCAGGGGTAGAATCAATTTCAATAAACTCAAAGGAGAAGAAATTAACAATAACAGGAAACATAGATCCAGTTTCACTAGTTTTCAAATTGAGGAAGCTCTGTTACACTGATATCCTCTCTGTTGGACCAGCAAAAGAGCCAGAGAAAAAGAAAGACGAAGGCAGTAAAAAAGATGAAAGGGGTAAAAAGGAAGAAGGCAAAAAAGACGATGCTAAAAAGGGAGGAAGAGATAAGAAGAAGAAAGACGGAAAAGATGAAGCTCAAGCTTATCCCGCACCTATGTTTTATCACTATCAGCAACCTTATCAACCCACTGTTACTGTTCCTGCTTATTATAACTATCCAAGTATCGAAGAGGATCCAAATTCTTGTGTTATCTTCTAAATGGATTTAATTAATACCCTGTTAATATTATATACATATTTCTGTGAGTTTAATTTTTAGAGATAGCAGGGAAATAAGGAAACATATTTTGATTTTGTTGATGCATATATTGGAAAGTTGGTTTGATATATGTGTAATTCTCATCATAAAGATTGTTAATTTCTTTTTTAACCATTTGGTACTCAAACTTTTATCATTGAACCATCTAATCTAGTATCGCAGAGGAGTAGAGTTATTTTTCTCTGTGCTTCTACTAAATAGGATTTCATTTTCAAGGTTTGAATTCCCTCATTATCCGTAGGCAGTAGCATATGGCTTGTCCACCCAAAAGAACACAACTTTGTCCAGCCTACGCAGTTCACCCCTACCACAATTATCATAGTCTATACAGTAGGGTAAATTCAAAGTTAGAGTTGATTCATTTGTTTTCATTATTATTGATGGAAATTCTCTCGTTAAGACTATGAATTGATAAAGGTCAAAACATGTGTATAATGCACACAACCCATCAACCTACTAGCAATGAAGAAGAAAACACAACATAATGCAATAAAATTTTTATTAGACTATATTGGAGAATGTGGTAAAGGGTGGATCAAAGTTAGAAGACAGCATAACATTGAATCTTATATGCCTTTACAATGACGGAATAAACAATATAATTTGAATTGGCTATACAAGTCTGATGTCTTGCTGCAATATAATTTGAATTGGCTGTGGGATTCAAGTTCCAATGGAATAAGTCTAAAGTCTGGCTGCAATGTTGGTCAACGCTCCTTCAAATAAAGAATTAAACAGAAGAATCTAGATTTGTGAAAAAATTACTCTACATATAACCTTAAAGTCTCAATCAATTGCGAGAAAAATCATGTCGTAACAAATTGTTTGAGAAATTGAACAAAATTAAATAATTGAAGGGTCAATGCATAACTCAATATGTCAGCAGAAGAGCAATTCAAAACAATTACAAAATTCAATCGATATTGGTAATTAAATAATTGGAGGGTCAATGCATAATTCAATATGTCAGCAGAAGAGCAATTCGAAACAATTACAAAATTCAATCGATATTGGTAATGACTGTGGGTGTGCAAAAATCGAACCAATCGATAAATCGAATCGAAAAAAGTGTTATTAGTTTATTGTTATTGAGTTAACGATGATTTAATTGTTTTATAAAAAAATATTGGATTATCGGTTCGATATTGGCTTTTTAATATTGGGTTATTGGGTTAACCAATAACCCATTAAAAATATAATAATTTACTATTTTAATTTTTAGTCATAGATAAATATCAAACAAAAAATATTAATATAATCATTATATTAGACTTTAACTATAAGGACCCTACACAATTAACATTACTTAATTAACTCTGCTCTCTGCATTTATCATTTAGGTTTTAGTATTCTTTAATTTTTTAGGTAACGACTAGGGTTGTGAATTATGAGTATTTGCTATACTTTTACTACACTAAGTTGAATTTTTGCACTCAATGAGTAATTAGATTTCTCTCTTCTTTATTTCGCATTAAATTATTGGACAAGTCATATATTTGTTTTGAAATCATTTTCTTATTGGTTAAACCAAAAACTGAACAGTTAAAGACCAAAACCGATAAACTGAAAATCAATAACAAATATCTTATTGATTTAATTATCAATTTAGCATATTTAAAAATAAAAAAACCGATAATACTTTAAATCGAATTGACCGATATACACTTAATGACGGCAAACTCAAACTGCAGGTCGGCCATTTACTTTATCAACTTGTCATGCGCATTGCCACACTATTTTTTTTTTTAATTTCCTTTTATGTCGCGTGAGCTCATTTTTTTTAATTCACAAATATGACTCACATGAGGTATGACACACTCCATGAATTCCTCTACAAAATTTATTAATGTTTTGCATCAACTTTGCTGTTTACTTCAATTTCCTTCTCTGAATATCAAGACAAATTGGATAGGTATATGCCATTATTTCCAATTAAATAAATAAGGAGAAACTATTTTATTAGATATATATTCATATTATATATACTATTCTACTTATACTTTTAAATAATTATGTATCTCATAATTAATTAAAAGTTTTCTAATATATATTGAGAAAGATATACTTAAATATATGTATTTTTACTACTAAATACATTAAAATAAGGAGAGAGGCAAACGTGATAGTCATGTATCCCAGATTCATGCGAATCACACCATATACATAGGAGAGTGACAAACAAGATTTGTTATGTATCTCAGATACATGCAAATTCACTTGGATATAATGTATTTAAAATAGATTATACCTAATTTTAATCCATGTATCTAGATGGAGAAATGACCAAAATGATCCTTAATGTATAGGGGTTGAAGTATTTTGATTCTTCGTATCCTTATTAAAAAAGTATAGTAAAAGATGATCATTTTGATCTCTAACCCTAAAACTAACCATAAATATAAAAAATGCTGTTAAATTTAATTGTGGGTCCCTCAATATTAACACCAGACAGACCTCATTCTTCTCCTTCAATCTTCTCTCCTTTACCATTAGGCCATCTCCAACCCCTAAACTCTATTTTACTCTCTAAAAAGAAATTTTTTTCTCTCTTCTCAATATTATATTATTATTTATGTTCATTCTTATTTTCTTATTTCATAATATAAATCCTTTCTTTCTTTTTCCCAAATAATTACTTTATATAATTTTCATGTGATATAAAATTTTATTTTTTCAATTTTTTTATTTAATATAAAATTTTATTTTATTCTAAATTTCTAAATAACATAATTTGCAATTATATAATATACAAATTAATGGACAAATTCAAATAAAAGTGAAATACAATTACATAAATATTACATAAACACTCAACTTTTAAAATTATTATGATGCTCCCATAAATGTTCTATTAATGCATTAAGGAGTTCAAAATGAGTATTTTTGTACTTAATTTTTTTATGTCTAGCTAAAAATTGTTCAAACCGGAGATTTTCATCTACCATCATACCCTACTTTTTTCGAATAGTGCTAAATTTGGAAACAACCTACCGAATTACTAAATTATTGTTATATTAAATTAGTTATTATGTCATGTATTGTATTGTATTGTATTTTATCTTGTATTTAAATTATTATGTTATGTATTGTAGTTTTAAATTAAAATTTTCATCTTCTCATTTGAATTTGTGCATTCCTTATAGTGAAAAATTAATAATAAAATAAAATTATATTATTGACGAAAAATTAGAAAAATAAAATAAAATACTTTAATTCGGGATGAAATTACTATAGTATTACATTTAAAAGAATTATGAATATTAGATATTTAATTACTGACATTATATTTAAAATAATATGTTAATGAAAAAAATAATAGAAATAACAATACAATATTAAAAAAGTGAAATAGAGAGTGTGACTATTCAACTCTCTAAATATAAAGAAAGGACCTATAAAGAATAGAGAGTAAAATGGAGGGAGGTTGAAGTGCTCATTCTCTATTTTACTCTCCAAATATAAAGAATGAAGAGTAAAATAAAAACGAGTTGGAGATGGTCCCAGAGGTTATTCTGCATCTTCAACCTACCACCTGACATATTCTTATGAGAAAAATAACTTACACTACACTCGCTTTTTATCTCCATCTCTACAAAAAAAAAAAATCAGTAGCTTGCACTTTCATACACACCAAAAATAAAATAAAGAAAGATGAGACAACTGATACAAATGCAAACAATTTTTTTTTTAAAAAAAAACACTTCATTAATTCCACTTAGAATATTCTATAAATCAGTTCTTTTCAAGCTTTAATTATATAGTCTCTTGTCAAAGCTCTATACGAAAATGATATAGCTTTCTTGTTTTTTCCTTTTCAATATTAATAGTTTTTCAATGATTTCACTTTTCAGATATAAAATAAAAATTAAAATGAGACAAAGGTGGAAAATAGAATTTCAAAAATGTTCTTTAGAAATTTGAAGAAATTTTAATTTGTAAGTCAAAGAGGATTTTGATAATTGACTTGTTTTTTCAGAAGAAGAATTGGATCAATGATCTTTGTGGCCATTTTCTCTATCTAAATGTATCAAAATCTAGTAAAATTTGTAATATTGTAAACTAGATTATATCTAAATAATTAACTCCTAAACTAGTAAACATTTCATAAGTTTCCCAATGCTGACAACAGTTGGATTTGGATATGAAAGTAATTGAGTGGCAGAAACCAATTCAGTATACTATGAACCGTAATACTGATGAATATTGCCAGGGAAATCCAGGAGAGACAGTGTACTTACTATACATCTTTATTTGCCGACTTATTTTTAAACCAAACGACCCCTTAATTATCTATTAGAGGAGAAATTTATAAATTTAATCAACTATATGATAACCAATCCCTATTTTTTGTCAATCACTTATCCAATAAACAACAACCAACAGAAAAAAACTGGATTAAATTACTCCTATTCAATTAAGGAAAAATAATCGTTAGTTTACATTTCTTAATTGATCCACCTATTTTCTTCTTCTTCATCAGCACCATCTTCGGCCCACATATCAACCCAGTTCTTCTGAGCTTCTTCCAGCCCAATAAACGAGCCCTGTTTCTCCGGATCCCAACTGGCTGACAAAGTTCCATAAGCAGCTCCAAGTGCTGAAGCCCCAAATGTGATAAACGTCGTCAAAAATGGTAACCAAATTGGCAGATCCACCAATTTCTGCTGCTTTATAATATCGAAAATCTGCAGCAAAATCACACCGCCGATCAACGGAGCTCCGACGTAAAACAGAATCCTTCCAATAATCCTTTCCCATATCTCCGTCGGAATTTTCTCGTCGTTATCGTCATTGTTGTTATTGTTCCTTCTGTTACCCTTTTTTGAAGTTTCGGGTTTTCCATTGCCGAAGCCTTTCGCTTCGGCATTCAATTTCCATGTGGTTAGTTGGAGGTTTGGAGTTCTGTTTATTTTTTTATGAAAATGGATTGGGATTTTTTG